TATCTTTGCTCGCTGTCCCCCACCGCCCCCCTCTTCCTCCTCCGGCAGCAAGCGAGCGAGACAGGCAGGCAGAGACAAAGGGCTGTTCTCAACCTGGGCTGTCCTCCCCGTGAGCGGCTGCTGCATGGGATTTCCCTGCCCTGCCTGCTGCAGCTTTCCTGGGCTCCTGGTCGAACGCTGGAGCTGGGCGGCCGTGGGCTTGTATCGCTGAGGTTTGAGCCTGCTGGTGCTGGGTGGGCAGGGGGTGCTGCTGGCTTTGGAGAGCTGCCCGATTGTCCTGACGGATTTTAAGCTGCTTTTCGTTCTTTGACTGTGCTTTCCTGGGGAGAGGGGGCAGCCGTGCATGGAGGGGAGGCTGGCTGGGGTGGTTGGACGTGGGGGAAAGCCGTACACAGGTGGCCGTTGCGTAGTAGGATCTGCCTGCAGACCCTGCGAGCCCCCCTTCCCAGCTGCGGGCTATTGTCAGCGTCGCTGCCTGCACGCGAGGCACCCGGGCAAGGTGTGCGGAGGCGATCCGTGCCAAGATGCGGGGGCATCAGAGGGAGCAGGGGTAAGCCCCGGGGCCAGGAGCTCTGCTCCAGCTCCCCGAGCTCCGGCGGGGGGGGCGGGGGGTTTCATTGTGTTATCCTGGCTCGGCCGAGCGGAAGGGCTCAGTCCCTGCGGCACCTGTGCGTGGGGCTGGGGAGGCACCGCACGTCGCTGGGCAGACCCTCAGCCCCTCAGGGGCCTGCTGCAGCCGGGAGCCCCAGCAAGGCACCCTGCAGAGAGGGCTGCTCTGTCCCCAGGGGCTTCTGCACCCCATCAGTGTCCCCTCCCACGGGATGGGAGGAAGGGAAGCAGCAGCACCTCACGGACACGGGTGCTGCGGGGCAGAGGGAGATGTCGGGTCTGTCTCTGTAGAAGCTGTCTCTGGTGGTTTCCAGGAGCTTGCGCTCCTGACGTGGGCACTGCCTCTTGCCCCATCCTTCCCCTCTGGGCTCGGGCTTCCTCCCTGTTATCTGCACAGGGGCCAGCACTGAGCGAGGCTCTGCGGCTGCATAAATCTGGCACAGCAGGAGGCCTCCTGAGAACCCCTGAGAGCAGCACTTGCCCTTGCAGAGGGGCAGGGATGCTCTCTCCCTATCCATCCTCCCTCCTTCCTTCCCTCTCTCTTGATTCCACCAAGCATGAGCTCCTTCCTCCCCAGCCTGAATCCCAGGGGAGTGCCAGAGCCACGTCCATGACGGTCATCTTTCCCTTCAGACACTGTTTGCTCCTCTAGCATCTCTCTAAACATCTTCTCTCCAGGATTGCCACCTCTCCTATGGATGGTGCTGGAGGTGGTCCCCAGCCTCACACGTCTGTCTCTCTCCTGTCGGTGATATGCCTGATCTGTCAGACTGTGGAGAAACCCTTCTCTGGTGGCAGGATTGCTGCTGGTGCTGCCATCCTTCAGGGTTGTGATGGAAACTTTCTGCCTGCTGGTGCTTCTCAAGCTCTGTTCTTAGCCTGTGCCAGGGAGCTTCTGGGTTTGCACTTCCACTAGTTAGATTTCCTTTCTTCTCCTTGGTTTCAGATAGGACCAATGGAGCTGCGACTTACCCTCCAGGCAGTCTGTTTCCAGCAGTTTCTGTTGCCTCTTTTTTTGCCTTGTGCTCTGCTTGTACCAAGGATGACTATTTGCTCTCTTGTAATGACAGCTCCTCTCTTTCCTGGCTGCATGGTTCCTGCTTCACCCCCAGTGCAGCTGCGAAGGTCTCCTTAGCACTTCCCAGGAGAGGGAGCAGGAGGGAGGAAGCCAGCAAAAGCCAGTTTGGGGGTGTTTTGGGTTTTTTTATGGTCTAAATGGTGCAGGGACCCCTCTTGGCCCTGCCAGCCCCTGGGCATGGTGCTGTGCCCCGGGCAGCAATGTCCAGACCACAGCCTCTTGTCCACTAGCCGTGTGTCCCCTTGATGGGCTGGCAGTGCTGCTCTGGGAAGCCGCGTGGATCGCCACTGGGTGAGCGTGGCCCTTTGGGGCACAGCTCTTGCTCTCTTCCTTGCACCAGTGCTGTGCTGCCAACCCTGCCAGCCTCCCTTTTCCAAGGGCTCTGCCGGTCCTGCCCTGTGACACATGTTCCCCTGGCTGGCAGAGCTGCCCCTGCACCCGTCCCGCTTCCTTTCTGGCTGGTACAGTACACTTAAAACAGCAACAGATCCTTTTGCAGGCTGCAGCCCGGCATGTGGTACAGCTGCTGCATTGCCCAGCCAGGGACCCTTCCTCACCCGCCATCCTGCTCTGTTGCCACCAGACTGGGACCATGGGCTGTTAATCCTGGGTCCCCCCTGGATGTGCTAATAAGAACAAAACCATCAGGTAAGCCAAGCCCCCAACCTCCCCGTGCAGGCCTGGCTATGTCATCCCACATCAGGGTCTGGCGGCTCGGTGTCCCTGGGGAATGCAGTATCTCTGCCCTGGTGCCTGGGAGACCCTCCCTCCCTGCAGGTCCTTTGGCACCGGGTATTCTGTGGCTGTTGAAGGGTAGTGCCCTTCCCCAGGCCTCGCCAGGCTGGAGGAAGAGAGGAAAGCTGTGCCTGGCATAGCTCTGTACCCCGGTGCTGGAAGACCCTGGCAAAAGCACAGGCCCCGTCCTGTCCTCTGAGCATCAAGGGGGGCTGGGAGCTTGGCAGGAGCAGAGCAGAAAGCAGGAGGAGCTCTGGCTGAGCTTCCCTCAACAGGCAAAGCCCTATCTTAGAGTCAGAGCACCAGCACAGCCTGAAACACCAGAAAAATCACCATCACTTGGGCTTAGGAGGGGCAAAACTCTTGGTACATGGAGCCCCACATGCTGCATCCAAGGCATGATACCTGTACTGCTCAGCTGAGCTGGTGAGGCCCTGGACCTGTCCCATCCGGGTGGCCAGAACTGGGGCTCTGGAGACGCCTGGCTCAAGGGGAGGAGAAGGCAGAGGTGACCGGGTGCTGTCTCCTCATCCCTGCTGAGAGTGCAGGAGCCCCTGGTCCCTGTGTTGCTCTCTGGCTCTTTAGGGGGGTGGTGGTCTCCCACTGGGTGCTATAAGAGGCTGAGCCCTGCTGAGAGAGGCAGAGCTAAACACAGCCAAGAGAAACCCCAAGGACTAGGCAAGGGGGAGTGGAACCTCTTTTGGCTGCAGTGCCTTGCAAGGAGGATGAGTAGCAGTGCTGTGCTCCAGCTGCTCCCCCTCCCAAGCTGCCAGGCCACCTTCCAGGGGGATGTACAAGGAGGTCCCAAGGTATACTTGGAGACACTTTTGGGGTGGACTGGGGAATCCTGGCATTTCCCACCACGATGCTTTGGGGAACAGTATCTCGGCTGACAAAACATGGTGTGGGCCCTTGCGCTAGGTGCGTGCATGCTGGCTAGTGCTGGCATCACCTGGTGCCTGGCATTGAGGTCTCAGATGGGATGGATTTGTGGTGTTAGCATGTTATCGTCTCCTGATGGACCCATTGCCCCAAGAGGCAGCTGCCGCTGGGGAGCAAAGGGCTGTGACTGCAGAGGGATGTGGGAAGGAGAAAGAAAGGATGCAGGTGAAACTACGTGTTTGTCCTGGCATGGACAGGCGCAGGAAGGATGTGGCTTGCTCCTGCTTCACCGTGCTGACTCTTGCCGCTGGTTGCTGATTTTGCTTCCCAGTGGGTGACTGTGCCTTGCAAGTTATGGTACAAATCTGCCCCAGGGATGGAGGAGAGAAGCAGCAACCTTCCAGGCAGGCAGAGCACAGCGTGTTACCACCTTGGCGTCTGCCTACAGCTGCAGGCATTCACTTGCTTTTCTACCTGCCTTGGTGCAGGCCCCATGTGGGGTGCCAGGAGGAAGTGATCTTTACAAAGAGCTTTTGTTGAGGTTTTGGATGAGAGGTTTGTTATGCTACGGTGTTGATTTGCCCTGCTGCAAAGGCTCCTTGGGAGCTGGTGTATTATATCTGTAATCTGGCTGGTCACTGGCAGTGCTCTTCCCCAGCACTGGCTTTTGGGCTGGACGGCTCTCGGGGACTGGCCATGACTGCCTGCGAATTACAAATCTTATTGGAAATGTAATGAAAGAACGGCCTGTTTCCTGGGGCAGGTGAGGTCAGGCAGCGAGCACAGCGAGCGACCTGCTGAAGCTGGCTTCCCACCTGCAAGATGATGGGATGCAGAACTCACCGGACCAGGATGCCAGAAAGGGGGTGCACTTGGGTGTTTGGTGCCTCTGAGCATCCCTTCAGGGATTTTGTTCATCTACCTGGCCCTACTCTTCCCAGATTCAGATCAGTGCTCACGGGCAGGATGCCCAGTGGGACACACAGCAGCTGTTGGAGTGGGTCCAGAGGATGATCTGAGGGCTGGAGCCCCTCTCCTACGAGGACAGGCTGGGAGAGTTGGGGTTGTTCAGCCTGGAGAAGAGAAGGCTGCGAGGAGACCTGATTGCGGCCTTTCAGTACTTAAAGGGAGCCAATAGGAAAGATGGGGAAAATCTTTTTAGCAGGGACAGCTGTGACAGGACAAGGGGTGACGGTTTTAAACTGAAGCAGGATAGGTTTAGACTGGCTATAAGGAAGAAATTCTTTACAATGAGGGTGGTGAAACACTGGAACAGGTTGCCCAGAGAGGTAGTGGAGGCCCCATCCCTGGGAACATTCAAGACCAGGTTGGACGGGGCTCTGAGCAACTTGATTGAGTTAGCAGTGTCCCTGCTCCCTGCAGGGGGGTTGGACTAGATGACCTCTAGGGGTCCCTTCCAACCCAAAACTTTCTGTGATTCTATGATTCCCTCCGGATGGCCGCTGCAGTGAGCCCCCAGCTGAGGGCTGCATGGGGAGGGAGGCAGGGAGGCTGTGGTCCCCAGGGATGGGCAGTGTTTCCTTCTTCACTTGGAGGTTCCTGGGCCAGCAAAGTTTACAGGCTGGCCCTGCCATAGAGGGGGAAGGGTGGAGGTGCCCGAGGGCTCCTGCCCACTACAAAGGTGTTGTACCACAAGCTGCTGCCTGGGCTGACTCTCCTCTTTGCCCCCTTCCAGATATCAAAGCCGCAGTGCCAGTGGATTATGACCGCAGGGGAGCTGTGTTGCATCTGCAAATCTCCGTCGTGCATCAAGGGCACATCTAAGCAGGTGAGTGCTGTGCACATGAAAGAACTGCTGTCTTTGTGCTGGGGGAAGCTGGTGGGGGGCCATCATGGCTCAGGGCTGTCAGGCTTCTGGTTTCTGCCTTCCCTGCCAGGCATCTCTTATTGGAAGAAAACAATTGCAAGCTCTTCTCCTTGTCTGTAGGGCCAGAAATTGTCCAGTACTGTGGGTGAAAGGGGCAGGAGGTGGGCATAAGACCAGCAGCTAGCTGGAGGCCCAGACTGGTGGTCTGGAGATCAGCTGGAGGCTGGTGATCTGCAATGTCTTGGAAATCAAGACATGAAATGGTCACCAGGAAGAAGCAGGGATCTGTTCTCATGCACAGGTTTTCATTCAGGAACACAGGCAAACATGATGTAAAATACAAGCCAGGTATGAGAGTTGATAGCTTAGCTTAAAATATTTATGGTTTAAATGGACATCATGGTGATAGCACTGCCTGAAATGGCCAAGATGTATGCAGACTTTGGGTTTGGGAGGTTGGGAGGGGCTGAGCCTCGATGCTGCCTTCTCTGCCTGTGTAACCCCACAGGCAGGCGATACCCTAATGCCCTTCTCCTGGAAAGCACCTGAATCACTCGTGCTGCATCTCCCCTTTTCCTTCCCCTCAGAGCCGCTGCACAGACTGAAGAGCTGGAGAGGACGGTGCAGAGGTTTGGAGGCACACCGTGATGGTGGGAGCCATTCCACGGCAGCCATGCCGCTTCTGGGGGATGCCCATCTGGCAGGTGTCTACAGCTAGTTGTGCCAACGACCGCCTGCTGTGGGACAGGGAAGTTAATCCGGAGTACAGTGGGGTTCTGCTGCAGAGGGGTGAGTGTAGGGGTCAGCCAGGACAGGCTGCAGTATGGTGGGTTACATAGAGGGGTTGAGGTTGGCAGGGACCTCCGGAGGTCATCTGGTCCAACCCCTCTGCTCAAGCAGGGCCACTTAGAGCCATTGCCCAGAACCGTGTCCAGACGGCTTTTGAGTATCTCCAAGGATGGAGACTCTACAATCTCTCTAGGTAACCTGTTCCAGTGCTTGATCACCCTCACAGTAAAAAAAGTGTTTCCTGATGTTCAGACAGAACCTCATGTGTTCCAGTTTGTGCCCATTGCCTCTTGTCCTGTCACTGGACACCAATGGAAAGAGCCTGGCTTCTTCTTCTTTGCATCCCTTCAGGTACTTATATACATTGATAAGATCCCCCTGAGCCTTCTCTTTTCCAGGCAGAACAGTCCCAGCTCTCCCAGCCTTTCCTCATAGGAGAGATGCTCCAGTCCCTTCATTGTCTTAGTGGCCCTTTGCTGCAGTCTCTCAGGTGTGGCCTCACCAGTGCTGAGCAGAGGGGAAGGATCAGCTCCCTCAACTTGCTGGCGATACTGTCTAATGCAGCCCAGGATACTGTTGGCCTTCTTTGTGGCAAGGGCACATTTCTGGCTGATGCTCAACTTGGGTGTCCACCAGGATCCCAATGTCTTTTCTGCAAAGCTGCTTTCCAGCTGGTCAGCCCGCAGCATGTGCTGGTGCATGGTTATACCTTTCATCACTCCTTTTAAATAAAGTTCCTGGGCTCAACCACCCTGGTCTGCCACTTTCCCATGCCTATCATGGCAGGGGTCAAAGTATCATGTGCAGCCTCCCTCTCTAGACAGCCTGGACCCACTTGGAGAACCAATTCCCCTATTGTACTCCTGCCCCTAAGTCTTTGCTCCACAAGAGCAGGCAGAGCTTTGGGGACAGGCAAAGGGCAGAGCTGCCAGGTACAGGCAGTTTGTAAGGCTCTGGAGCTCCTCAGCCTGCTGGTGATTTTTCCTGCATCTCTTCAGCTCTTGCAGCCTTTTCAGTAGTTATCATACCAGAAAAATTCATGGCCAATGTTCTCACAGCTCTCAAGCTGGGCTGAAAATCAGAAGTGAGGCGCCATGCAGGATGGATGTCTGGTCCTTGGGGCAGGCAGGGGTGGGTGGATGGTGCAGGAACCCACGGTGGGCTCTGCAGCCCCTGGTACCACACAGCTGCTGGCTGAGGTGGTGGAGATCAGAGCTGTGATCTGGTGGTGGCCAGCAGAGCTGTGACATTAGGTCAGGTTTCCCCATGCTGCCCAGCCAGGTTTATGTCCCTGCCATGGGGCTGGCAGTGTAGGGCACCAGCCCTGCCTCATTCATTCAGCGCATGTGGCTGGGGCCCGTCGTCTTGGGGAGCGCTGGGAGATCTTGTTGCTCTTGCCCAAAGGGGTGATTACAGGCCTGAGCCCCTGGGACTGGTCTGACCTGCCTGACTCCTGCGCTCCAGAACAGCGCAAGCACATCAAGTCCCTGGCAGAGGGCAGGCCCCCTTCTCCCCACTTGTCCAGACTTGTCCCCTGTAGCCTCCAGCCTGGCTGGAGACTCCTCTCCGCGCCCCGACCAGGAAGGAAGTGCTAATCCTGCAGGTGGGTGACACCGCAGGATTCCCCGGAGAGCCAGCCAGCCTGGTTCCTCTTCCCATCCCCGGAGAGGGAGGTCCGAGTGGGGCTGTATGGGGAGCTGCCCACGCATCCCGGCAGGTCCCTTTGTGGCCAAAAGCCCAGACAAGGGCGGCGATCCCGGGCTGATCTCTGTCCTCCTCCTCTCTCTTTTCAGATGCGGCACTGCAGTGCACCCCATAGCGGAGGGCTCACCCGGACGTCCTGAGCAAGGGGGGTCCAGCTCCCACCCCCTGCCCTCGCACCCTGACCTGTAGCACTTTACAGTCCCCCTTCTGCTGCTGCATGGGCTGTTCTGACTCCGGCTCCACTCGGAGTCCAGGCAAGTAAGGCTCCATGCGGCACATCCACGCGGAGACGTCCCTGCCCCCGGAGCACACCACGGACCCCAGCCTGTCCCGGCCCAGCGGAGAGGCACCCTTGGAGCCTTCCTCCCAGCACTGCACCCACCGTGGCATCCTGATGGGCTACAACGAGACAGAGATCAAGCGCCAGAAGGTTTACCAGGTCTCCATCTTCTCCCATCTCTCCAGCTCCTCCGAGAGCACGGAGCAGCGGGCAGGCAGCCGGACAGCCGTCAAGAGGGGTTACCCTGAGCAGCGAACTCCGGAGGGGGGGCGAGATCCGAAACGAACTCACTGGGGTGGGGGGGTGGTGGACAGCAAACGTGATGGGGGCCCTGGGCAGGCTTCCCTGGACGATGATGATACCTTCGAGGATGGTCTGCTGGTGGGAGAACTATCCCTGTGCGGCTCTGCCCAGCACTTCTCCCACAGTGGGCTGCGGGTGGTGGAGCACCGGTGTGAGGGCAGCCCCAGCCCCAGCCCCAAGGCCAGCAGAGAAGACAAGTCGCAGGATGTCTCCTCTTCTTCCTGGCCCCAGCACATTGCTTGCAGTACTTTGCACACGAGAGACAGTTGTCCTGTCTCACCAGGGGATCAGCCCACTTATCGTGGGGAGAATGGGGAGCAGGCAAGTGGCCACAACTTACTTCACCTTGATTTGCACAATATTGCACAAAAAGCCCAGATGGACTCTGGTGGGAAGAGAGAGAAGCCAGGGAGCAGCCCAGCTCACAGCAGCAAGGCTAGCGGAGAAGAGGAATGGCCAGTGGTGGCCAACGGGCACAAGGAGCCCCCAGCTCCGCAGACGGCACTCAGCCCTGCCAAAAGGATGCTGCTGCCTGCTGGTGAGGTTGTGACCGACTCCTGCTCTGAGGACGAGAGCCTGTCCCCACCGCCAAGGAAGAGGGTCCTGCCGTGCCATCCAGTGCCCACGGCCTGCCGCAGCACCGATGCCAAGGGGGCCCCGTTCTGGAATCACCTGCTTCCCACAGCCAAGGTGAGCATCGCTCGTGGGAAGGCAGGGCATAGCCCAGGGGCACCGAGAGCTCAGGGTTGTCCTCGTGGGCAATGTGGTCCATCACGGCACAGCCCATCACTGATTCTTGACTCCTTTTAGTCACTGGATCCTCTGCTTGCAACCAGCTCTTTAGCCTGGAGAGCTTTGCTCAGACAGGACATGACCTCCCTGTGACAGCAAGAGTTGGACATGTGGCATGGGGCCACCCTCAGCATCTGACAACTTCATGTTAAGCCAGACTTACTGGCAGGCTTGGGAAGAGTTGCTGTCCTCTGCCTGCCTGATGAGGCAGGGGGGTGGGATGGCTTGAGTCCCTGGCCGTGATACCCATCAGGGCAAGAGTTTGGTGGCAAGGAGTGGGACTGGGCATGCTCTGGCCAGGCAGTGGGAGCCCCAGTGCTGCGTGCAGAGATGCCACTGGCTTTCTGCAATTCTGGGGTTCCTGTGGCATGTCCCCATGGTGCCACAAACTCAGAAATGGGGCAAACTGGAGATTTGCAAGAACCCTGGCAGCTCAGGAGCTGCCTGCGATTCCTTCCTGCTTACCAGCCCCTCCAGGCCAGCTCCCTGCCTTCACCAGGTCCTGCCAGATGAGACTGCAGCAGGCTCATATGAGAGCAGGGACACTCCTCTCCTTCCCTGAGGCATCCCATGGTGCAGGGACCCGCAGGGACCGACGGCAAAGCTGCCCTGGCTTCTTGCTTCTTGGAGCTGGGACACACCGTCTGTGGGGCACAGCTCCATCCATGCCCGCATGCCCTTTTTGGTGACTGTCCCCCAGCCCGGTTGCCCCCAGCACTGCCCTTGCAGAGTGAAGCCCTCCAGCAGCTTCCCTGGATTTTCCTGCCTGGTCATGCCAGCCAGCTCCATCATCCCTTTGTGTTGTGCTGCCCTTTGTGTGGCTTCCAGAAGGGAAAACCCCTGAAAAGGGGACATCTTTAAAAGGAGGCTGTAGTGTGGCCCTGGCTTTAATGCCCCACCCTACAGCTGTCAGAGCCTGGCTGAGGGCAGAGGTGGGCAGCAGCCCCTCTGCCCGGCGGCACTACTGAGGACTTTGCATGAATCACCAGGGGATGGGACTTTTCCCAGGCTGGTCGGGGAGCTTCATCGTATGTGTTATCCTTCCCTGGGAGGAGCAAGGGGATGTTGCTGCATGGTTCTGTCTGTGGGTGTCTTGTCAGCGGGGCTGGTCCTGAGACCTCCATTGCAAGATGGGAGCTGTGTGCTGCACCCTTGGCTTGGCTACCAGCACCCTGATCCCCAGCAGAGCCACTTTGGGGTTTGGGCAGCCCCATATCTCTGCTAGACACCACAGCCCTCACACTGTCCTGCTGGCCACCCCTGCAGAGGCTGCTGATGGCTCCTGGTGGATGGGAGCCTCTCTGATCTGCTGGGACTCCTGTGGGGCAGGGCAAGGGGCCATGGCACCTCCTGGGGGTGTGCAGTCCCCGCTTGCTGCCCTAACACAGTTCTCCACTTTGTGTCCCCTCCAGAGCTCTGCGGATTGCACTGCGGTCGGGAGGAGGCTGAAGAGCGGGCTGCGCCTCAAATCGTGAGTATCCCAGCAGGGATGGACATAGGGGCTTGGGGTGCCCAGTCACCCAGGCACCCCACAGCCCTGTGGGAGGGTCAGGTTGGATCCCTTCCCTGCCCCGGGTGTCTTCCCTCCACAAGACCCCAGGCTGTGGGGCAGAGGGAGGTTTCTTCTGCCCCTGGTAGGTAGGAAAGTGGGTTCAACCTCCACCAAAGAAAGAGACAGAGGGATCTGGAGAGGGCAGCCTAGGACTGCATGGTCTCCAATCCAACACCAGTCTTGTCTCCTCTCTCAAAGGCGACATCTCCGGAGCAGCCTTCGGAGGGGTACAAGGTCCTCTGCAGCACCCTGGACCACCACCACCGTCAGCCATGCTCTGCTGGGCAACTTTGAGGTAATGGCACCCACCTGCCAGGGAGGGAGGTCGGTCCTGAGGGCTCAGGCTGGGCTGGTGATGGCCGTGAGAGGCTGAACCTGACGGGATCCACAGTGTAGGGCTGGGCTGATTGTCCCCAAGGGCGTGGTGTGCAGTGGCCATGTCACACAGCCACCATCCACCAGTGGGATGTCTCAGCCAGCAGATACTTGGGTGACGCACCAGGACCCTGGACCCTGCTGAGATGGCTGCTGCGGGGCTGAGCCGAGGCGCTCTCATGGCTTCCCTGCGTTAGATGGCTGGTTTTAGCCCACCAATTTGGGATGGGTCTGTCTCAAAGTGAGCAGGCAGGGCCCCTCACCGGTGGTCTCCAAAAAGCCAGGAGACGTGCAAGGGCAAGCAGACATGTGGTTGCAGTGGAGATGGGGGTGACATCTCACTTGCAACTTCAAGGAGAGGGATAAGACCAGTGTTCGAAGCTCCCTAACGCTTTCCTCCTCTCTCAGGAGTCCATCCTGAAAGGACGCTTTGCGCCATCAGGGAGGATTGAGGGGTTCACGGCAGAGATCGGTGCCAGCGGCTCCTACTGCCCCCAGCATGCCACCCTGCCTGTTGACGTCACCTACTTCGACATCTCCGAACACAGCGTGCCCTCGCCTTTCCTGGTACGCGGATGAGGGAGGGCTGGGACCATGGGGGAGGTGAGTGGGGGCTGTACCCAGGCACTGCACATCCTGGGGGCTGCCCCTCTCCAGAGAGTGCTGCTCAAGCAACCACCTACCTGAGGAGACCGGCAGCTGTGCCAGGTGCAGTTTTTAACCCAAAAAGCAAAGAGAGAATGCTTGCAGGAGTATAAACAGGCAGGCTGCTGCCCAGCAATCTCATGGCTGCTGCTTTGCCGTCACCTCTGCATTGCTGCTTGTTCGTCCCCAGGTCTGGAGAGGGACCGAGCCGGGCATCTTCTTGCTGCCATGTGCCAAGCAAGGGGGGCTCTCGGCTCTGTGCCAGCTCCCCACTGGACTCCCCATGGACTTTCTACCTCTCTCACATGCTTGCTCTTTTGCCCCAGGGAGTGATTGACTTGGAGGCCTTGGGAAAGAAGGGTTACAGTGTCCCCAAAGCTGGAACCATCCAAGTGGTGAGTCGTCCCCTGGCCTCTGGCAGTGCCATGGGGAGGGGGCTGTTTGGGCTTCATTTGGCCCCTGGTGTAGATACGCTCCATTACATTGTTTGGCAGGGCAGCAGCCAGAAAGCTGGTGCAGAGGGGGTACGTGGCCACCAAGACAGCACAGCAGAGGGGAGCACGGGGTCCCCGGCGTGCTGGCAGGGAGACAAGGTGACAGGAGATGCGGGGAAGGAAGAGGTTGGTGGCGGGGAGGGATGGGGAATCAGCAGGAGAGCATGTACGTGCAGTGGGGATGGGATAGGAGCACGGGAGCAGAGGTGAGTGGAAAGGACTGACCTGTGGGCCTCAGGCTAAGCCCTTCAGGGCTGGTGTGGGGCTTTCTGGACCCTTGGGCCTGCTGATGCTGCCCCCAGATGACCTAGCCCTGCCCTACAGACTTCCTGTGCCCTTCCCAAGCCTAACCCCCTACCGCTCTGCCCCCAGACCTTATTTAACCCCAACAAGACTGTGGTGAAGATGTTCTTGGTGACATACGACTTCCAGGACATGCCAGCCAACCACATGACCTTCCTACGCCATCGCATCTTTCTGGTGCCTGTGGGGGAGGAGGAAGGGGCCACTGTCCCTGCCAGTGACCCACCGGGCTCCGGCCCACCTCGCAGGGTCCTCTGCTACCTGATGCACCTAAGGTAGGGTGGGATGGATGCCTGCCCCAGGGTCACCCCTGGGCTCCTCTCCCACGTGTCCCTGTCTCCCCAAACCTGCAGGTCAGAGCAGGGGGGTGGCAGCCTGAGCCCCTTGCCCTGGGGAGGAGCAGGGACTGGCTGCTCTTTTGGGGAGGATGGAACTGTCATCCTGCCCAAGTGCAGCGGTCTCTGTCTCCCTAAAGGCAACTGGAGCGTGCCCCCCACCGAGGCTGTCCTGCCCTTGCCTGAGAGCCTGAGGCCCCTCCACCCTGCTCTTGTCTCCGCTTAGGTTTCACAGCTCCAAGTCGGGGAAGATCTACCTTCACGATGACATCCGGCTGCTTTTCTCTCGCAAGTCGATTGAGGTTGACTCGGGGATTCCCTACGAACTGAAATCCTTCACGGAGATGCCGAGGAACCCCTGCTACTCACCCCGGGCCTGACCTCCTCCATCCCCCAGGGCCACCGGGAAGCCTCCAGCCCAGCACTTTGGGGAGAGATGAGTAAAGGGCCAGCAAGCAAGCACTGCCTTGGAGTATTGCCCTCCCTGCGCACCCCCGTCCCCCCGAGCAGCACGGACACTGTGCCCGTGCCCTGCAGCAGGGCTGGGATCACCAACGGGGCTTCACCAGGAAGGGCGGGGGCCGGAGAGCAACCTCGGCACTCCAGGGACATGCCCAAGCCTTCTGCCGGTGCTGCTCCCAGCTTAGAGACTTGGCTGTAGCTGGGGGGGGAGGTTTTTTTCAAAGAGTTGGGCTGGGGTCTCTGCGTGAGGCTGCCCACGCTGATCCCCGGGTTGGGAGCAGAAAGTGCGAAAGAGTTTGTATTTATTAGTATTTATTGTTGCCGGGAGCGCAGAGGAGGCTTGTGCAGAGGATTGGAGGTGCTGCGCTGTTCTTCCCACCCCACCCTGTTGGTGCTGGATGAGCACCCTGGCAGCGCGGGGTTGCTTGGCTTGAGGCAGGGCTGTGAGGACTCTGAGGGTGACTGGGGATGGAGACACCTCGGCCTGTGGAAGAGAGGGTGACCCACCTCTCAGCCGGGGTGCAGCTCGGGGGCTGGGGGTGCGTTAAAAGCCCTGGGAGAGGCTGAGACTTGCTGGGCACCAGCTCTGCAGGGCCAGCCCCACTTCAGGCAGCTTGGGGAGGCCTGGTGGTGTCCTTCCACCTCTTTAGGGCAAAACAAAACCCAGGGGCTGTGGCTGGCAGGCAAGTGGCCATTGCCACGGATCCTGGGGCTAAAGAGACTTGGCTGTCACACGGATGGGGACCTCGGGCTCTCTGCAGGAGCATGGGCGCAGCCCTCCCGGCAGGAGCCCCTGGAGCCCACGTGTGCTGTGGATTTGGGAGAAGATGGGGATTGCAAAAAAAAATGCAAGCCTTGCACTGTCTACGTGCCCGGGGTGAATCCCATCCAAGGAGGCGGCTTCGGGCAGGGGTTCGGGTGCTGGCGGGCGGCCAGGAGCCCTTGGCCGAGTC